CCTTCCTTCCTTCCTTCCTTCCTTCCTTTCTTTCTTTCTTTCTTTCTTTCTTTCTTTCTTTCTTTCTTTCTTTCTTTCTTTCTTTCCTTCTTCCTTTCTTTCCTTCTTTCTTTCTTTTGTCAGTTGTGGGGCCTGGGCACTTTCCCTGTGCTCTTCAGCTCAAGGTGAGTGCTCTACCACTTGAGCCACAGCACCACTTCCGGTTTTCTAGTGGTTTATTGGAGATAAGAGTCTCACAGAGTTTCTTGCCCAGGCTGGCTTTGAACCATGATACTCAGATTTCAGCCTCCTGAGTAGCTAGGATTACAGGTGTGAGCCACTGGTGCCTGGCTTAGATTTCCTAATTATAGCCATTCTAACTGGGGTGAGGTGGAATCTCAGTGTTGTCTTGATTTGCATTTCTTTTATGGCTCGAGAAGATGAACATTTCTTCATGTGTCTAATGGCCATTCTTATTTCCTCTTCAGAGAAGTTTCTCTTTAAGTCTTTAGCCCACTTATTAATTGGGCAGTTGTTTTTTTTTTGAGGATTTGTTGTTGAGGGATTTAATTTTTTTGAGTTCTAAGTATATTTTAGATATGAGACCCTTGTCCATTTTATGGCTAGTGAAGATCTCCTCCCAGTCCATGGGCTTTCTGTTGATCATGCTAGTTATATCCTTTGCCATGCAGAAGCTCTGCAATTTCATGCAATCCCATTTGTTCAACCTTTCTTTGATTTGTTGTGTTTCTAGGTCTCTATTAAGAAAATTTTGGCCTGTGCTAAGGTGCCCTAGAATCTCTCCTATTCCTTCCTGTAATGTTTTCAGGGTGTCTGCTTTTATTTTGAGGTCTTTGATCCATTTGGAGTTGATTCTGGTGCAGGGTGATAAATACAGATCTAGTTTTAGTTTTCTACAGGTGTCTAACCAATTTTGCCAGTACCATTTACTGAAAAGGCTGTCTTTCTTCCATTCTATTTTTATTTAGCTCACTTGTCAAATATTAGGTCTGTGGGTTCATTTCTGGGTCTTCAGTCCTATTCCATTGGTCCTCAGGTGTGTTCTTGTGCCAGTACCAAGCTGTTTTTATTACTATGGCTTTGTAGTGAAGTTTCTGCTAAGAATTGTTTTTGCTATTTGGGATCTTTTATTGTTCCATATGAATTTTTGGATTGCTTCTTCTATTTCATTGAAGAATGAGGTTGGGATATTGACAGGCATTGCATTGAATTTGTATATAGCCTTTGGCAGTATTACAATTTTCATAATGTTATCCCTCCCAATCCAGGAGCATGGGAGGTTTGTTCCACTTCCTTATGAACTGGTTATTTTAAAGAGAGTCTCATTTTCTTCCCTGGGTGCATTCCTGCATCATGACCCACCGATTTGCCTTTCCCATACAGCTAGGATGACAGGTACAGACCAGCAACATCCAGCTATTGACTGAGAAGGCCCAGGTTGGCCAGCCATGATCCCCCCTATTGCAGCTACAGAGTAGCCAGGGATACAGATGTGAGCCACCAGCACCCACTGTACTTCTGGCTTTTGCTTGTGGTATCTTTTGACACTCAGGAGTTTCCATGTTGAATTCTCACTTAATTTGCTCACAGCATAAAAGGAAATTTTTTGACTTAGAAAAGCACCTGCCTATGACATATCGAAACTGAATGTTTGCCAGGCACTGGTGGCTCACACCTATTATCCTAGCTACTTAGGAGGCTGGGATTCAGGATCATGATTTGAAGCCAGCCCAGGCAAGAAAGTCTGTGAGACTTATCTCCAATAAATTGCCAAAACTCCAGTAGTAAAGCTGTGGTTCAAGTGGTAGAATGTTAGCCTTGAGCACAAAAGCTCAGGGACAGCGCCTAGGCCTGGAGTTCAAGCCACAGGATCGGCAAAAACAAACACTTTATGTTTTTATTTATCAAAAAATGAGACATGGTATCACCAGTCTGTAATAGCAGCTGTGTAGAAGACATAAGTAGGAAGATCAAGATTTGTGGGCAGCCTAAAGAAAAACTGAAGACCCTATCCGAAAAATAACTAAAAGGTTAGAGGGACTAGGCCTAGCTCAAGAGATAGATGTCCTTACTAGCAAGGCTGAGGCCCCGAGTTCAAACCCTGATACAGTCTCACAAAAATCTTTGATTCCACACAACTGTTCTTTTCGGCTGAAGTGGATAAATATTCATGAACTTTTAATCACCTCTGCATGTGTTATTTATTTATTTATTGTGCTGGTCCTAAGGCTTGAACTCAGAGCTTGGGAGTTGTCTCTGAGCTTTTTTGCTCAAAGCTAGCATTCCCACCTGGGCCACAGCTTTACTTCCAGCTTTTGGATGGTTACTTGGAGATAAGAGTCTCCCAGACTATCCTGTCCAGGTTGGCCTTAAACTGCAATTCTCAGATCTCAACCTCTTGAGTTAGCTAGGATTACAGGCATGAGTCACTGGCACCCAACAACTTCTTGCATTTCTGATGAAGTAGTATATGGAGAGGAATTTTATGTAGGACAGCCCTTGCATTTATGGCTCAATTAGTCCTGCAAAGATGTCTGTGAGAAATGTACAGCATGAACCTTTTCTGTCATAAAAATGGATGTAAAGCATTGGATCTAATTCTTTGGGAACAAGTAAGACAACTTACAATGGTATCTAGTCACAGAAAAGCATGGTATGAAGATAAATGGATGATTAATCACAAATTGCATTTTTAAGACTTCTACAACTGACAGTGCATGCAAATATTGCTTTT